AAAGAGAAAATAAACTAAACTAAACTCGGCGGCACAAACAGCCCTTAGAGAGCTATGGCTGGCAGTGCCCTGATATCTGCTTTCTAGACCGTGTGCTCCTGGCTGCCTGCGCATCTTAGCCTGGACAAGTGGGCAGATTGTCGCAAGACCCCCGATGTTTAGCCCCAAGCGAACTTGGTGCTCATTTTATCGACCCATTCCGGTGATGGAAAGCTGAGTCAACCTTGCCCAGCCCGGGGATCGAACCCGGATCTATGGTGCTGCTGCGCGATGCACTAGCCACTGCGCCCCCGGGCCTCATAAGACAATAAGTATATGAAAATAATGCGAAACAAGTATTTTGTTTTTCTAAATTTGCGTATAAAAACCGGGCATAAAATATGGATTTTAAAGCCAAGCAATTGTAGTAAAATGTTACACAAATTTATATATATATTTTCACGCTCTGATCAAATTAAAAATCAGATCTGGCTAATTAATTGCCGCCTTGAAATATTTAGTATTTGTGGCAATAAATTTCATTATATGTAAAGTTTTCTCCTTCATTTCTGAAACTATACAGAAGTTCATGCAGCATTTCTTTCAGAAGAATAATTCTGTCTTAATTCCAACATTAAGATCAAGAAAATTCAAGCTCATTCCAAATTTTTGCTTTATTTTTTCAAAACTGAATGTATAAAACGAACTTTCAGCAACGAGGGTACTAACTGGTGTTATTAGTTAAGCAGAGGGGTAGAACAATCGATTAACGCAGTTGGATTGGATTATTTAATAGAGGCAAAGAACATAAAGGTTATCTAAACTCCATCCCACTTTTGACCAAGATGGAATGGAGTCCGAGATTCTTTTACATCTCGTCCCTTATTGCAAAAATTTCGTGATGACTTTCGTTTCTAAAGATAATTTGTAGTGAACCCATGCTGGAAAGACATGACACTCACAGTTTTACATCCATATTTTACTCGAGGTTCGAACCAGAACTGAAAGGTGTTGGAATCAGTCAGTTGCATTACACCGGCTTATATGATTGAATCATGGTAAAAACTTAAAAAATTAGAGATAAACTGAATTTTGATTTTTTTACTATTATTTTTAAAAGACGGAAATTTTTCAGCTTGAAGAATTACGGAAGTGAAAGGTGACCATTTTGGAGAGCGGGGTGATTTACTGATTAAAACTAAGTAATTTTAGGGTTGAAGAGTATCAAAACACTGCGGATAGTTGTCGCGTACGCAGTCCTAATACAGCAAAAAGAAACCTAAAAAAATACAAAAATGCGAGACCAATCCTTTAACGCCAGTTGTACTGGGAGTAAGAAAAAGAAAGAAAAGAGCCTGGATTTCTGGAATTGACGAAACAGAGACGGGAATGAAACGGCTACATCATAATTATATTTAGAAATTCATTTCTAGTCGATTTTCAGAAAGACGTTAGAATGTTGTGAATGTAAATCTATGCATGCTGCAGGCGAATGTCTTAAGGATGTTTTTCGTTAATTATGTTATTCATAAAATATTATACTTAATAAATTTATATAATACTAATAATTAATTAAAAATAAGAATCTGTATGTCTGTATATGAATTATATACCTTTCATAGCTTAACTCTTTAAATATATGAAATATTAACATTCGTGTTTTTAATTAATTACGTAACCATTTTACTTATTCGCCATTAATTAAAGCAACAGATTTCATCGTTGAATTGATAAAGATTATTTTAACTGATTTTGGTTTATTTTCTTTTATTTAAAGAAGACTAAATAATTTTTAATTCCACTTTAAGACTGCATTTTTTTAAATAATTAAAAAAGTGTTTTTTCATTGTATTGCAAAAGTAAGAAGATTGTTTACAATAACTACGGGTAACTAACATAAAACAGCGTATGATTTGAAATATATATGTAAGGATCATAAGCCTGTTAATAGTCTGTTTTCCCAGAAATACGTGTTGGAAACTGACCATTTTTTATCTTTTCCAAGTTTAACCATTAATTATTGTCGGTAATATCTAAAAACATTAGCCTGTATATAACGAAATAGGTGACGTTAATATTCACAAAGTAAGCAACAGAAGAATTAAAAACTGTCTTGAAATTTGAAAAAGTCTGCTTCATCAGAAAGAATAAAAAGATAAAATTGCACATGCCAGCTGCTATTATTTAATGGAAATAAACTTGCGACGTTTTGCAGAATCAAACGTTTTATATTCCAATGTGTGCTACGATATAATAAAATCCTCTTATTTTTTAGTTTGTCTTTCTCAAAGGGAAAATGTATACCTGAATTTATTTTTAGAAGGTAATGAGTCATTTTGTGCGTGCATGTGTTAACTTTAAGCAAACGGAATAAAATTCTTATTTGAAAATTTTCTCTAATAATATTAAATATCGCCACGGAGAGAGTTTTCTGAAGAAATTCTGTTTGATATTAAAATTAAAATAAAATTGCTAACAACATATTTCGGCTTTTATTGATGATAATTAAATATAATTACAACGAAGTAAATTTTTATATCACGTAATGTAAAGTGCTATTAAATATCATTTTTGTTTACAGTGTTTAAAAAATAGTCTACAGTAAGAAAGAGAAAGAAAAAAAAAAAAAATAAAATTTATGGTTAGTCTGGGGTTTGACGCATGCTCAGTCTGATTTTTATGTGTGCATAGTTTGATTAAGAGAATTGGCGTCTTTGCTTGCAAGACTTCTTTAGAAGTTCTTTTTCTTTTATTATAAGCACTAATATTTAATCTCAGCTGAACTCTATTCTGAGAAATTTCAGTAATACAGAGTAAAGATCCAAGAATTATTATGTTGCATTATTTGTTTCTAACAATCTTACAACTGCATTGTGTTTCGCTAATGATGTGACTCACGCACGTATTTTGAAATTGACATATTGACTACTAAAGCAGCGGCTCTTCATAATAAAGACATTAAGCTGTATTTTTCCTTCAAAATATTTGTTAACCATGCACAGGCTAGAGGAAATATTATGGTCTTTATTTAGATCAATAAATATTACTTTATCAGATGTTTTACATTGCCTTATTTTACATGTTTGTGGGTAAACGGGACATATATCAAAATAAAAACATGTACATAGTTTTTATTTTAAAGAACAATTTTAGATTTACCAAGAGTCTCACCGAATGCAAATAAGTTATATAGCATTTTATTATTGAACTACTATAGCCTGTACACTTTTTCGTTATCATATGGTTTCATGGGTTTCTGAGCTTACATCCACAGATCCCAAAACAACTGGAAACACAATTAATCGGACCATATTATTCTTTCCTTTCATCAAGTATCGAGCATTCTAATTGCCGAATCGAGACAATTCCTTTGATACAAATTCGTCATGAGTACTCTAGTTGAGTAACATCTCCTAAAACTCAGGTTTGATTTATTTGATTTTGATTGTGCCAAAGCACGCGATGATTATTGGTCTGGAAAGAAATAAGCCTTCATGAAGTATTTTAGCTTGTTTATCTGAAATCCAAAATAAGTCGGAATATCAGTGTTCAGCGACTTTGCTACTCGGCCGCTGTGAAACCCAGATAATAAAAGGAACATTACAGTCCTCATTGTGATTTTTTAAGAGCACTGAATTTCGATGTTGTGTGAGGAAGTATTTTACCACTATCGCATGAAATGATTCTTTCCAAATGATGCTAGCCACGCTTATCCAGAGACTTTTCCTACTCCCGCCTGTTTAAGCCTGGTATAAATTAAATTAATCATTTAAATATAAGATCTTAAAAGTATTTTATTTATTTCTCAAATGTATATGTAATACTGGTGTCCAATATTATACGTACTTGACAGTTATATAATACATGGTTATGCAGGAGTAATTTAAAATTAAGTTTGTAGATATTATTATACAAAGTTATAGGTTTATTTGAACCAGGAGACGTGAAAAATGTGCAGTGCCCTCGCCGGGACTCGAACCCTCTACCTCTCGAATACGTGTCGAGTATGCTTCCAATTACACCACGAAGGCATGCGGAAAGGAGGAAGAAAATACCTTATAATGGGAGTAACACGTTAACGAGAGAAAGTGTGAAGTAGAGTGGCGGCATAGAAATAAGGCAATGAAAGGTGAATGATATTACGCTCCTGTCCTTTACTGCAGACTTGATATAAAATAGAAAAAGTAACTGTAGGAAAATAAGAAATCTTTTCTTTAAAATACCTCCAATTTTGGCACATATGTTGCATTTTATTGCATTATTATTGAAGCATTATTATTTACAATATCAGAAAATTTTAGAACAAATTTTCTCGCCTAAATTGAAACCTACCTATCATATAATAAATATTACACAGAAATCGTCTGCTACGCAACTGATCTGCTATTCATCAGCTATGTAACCGCTATGCAACTGATAAGCAAGCTAATCGGCAATTAGAATACCGCTACCTCGTAGTAGCTGTAATGCTAGCAGAATTATAATAGAGAGCAAATTTACTATCCTCGGTTCTATACATTTTAAATCCGATCAGTTTATAACCTTCATTCATTTTTTTAAGACATGTGTTCTTTCCTCAAAGAATTGCTGGCACCTTCATACTTTTCATAACAAATCCATATCTATCACACTAATCTATCTATATTTGTATCCCAGTTGACTTCGATGCAACCCAAAGTTTAATGTCCTGATTATGAATTTAATTCATTTGGACTTAAACTGTCAGTGACTATCTTCTTAATTAATTTTACCATCAGCTGAAATAAATGAAGATATCAGAATCATTCATATTTCTTATTGCAGGACATATATGTTAAAAGCGAACTGTTATTTCCGTCTTTCTGCTTATATAATGCGTGTATAGTATCTATGATTTTTCCTTCGGCATAATAATCTATAGTACATGTCTCCAAATTTCAGTTTATGCGTAATGTTTGGATATCATTTATAAATGTAACGATATTTTAAGCTATAAATTTTTAGAATTGTAATTTATTCTATACTTTTCTTTTTGTTTCCAGGATTCAGATATTGAGATAGAGGAGAAAGTCAAGGAAGACGTTCAGAGAGCGTGTTGAAAGGACAGGCAAGAATTTAGAGCACCGATCGTCACAAGGAAGGGACCTTCAGTGGTCCCTGTTTTTCCAGTCTCTGCACAGATTCTCGTGAATGACTATGACACTCCATCTGTATTTTGCATGCTTAGAATCTGATAAAAGATAAAAAAATACTTATAAAAAATTATACATTCTAGTCTTAAGCTTCTGCCTCTTCATTTTAATGTTTTCTTCATGCTGTTGTGATTACCGAAGAACACTCTTCATTATTTTTCAGAATTTCAATTGGATTTGGAGATTTTTCCGTATGCGTAGGCAGAAGCAATGATGTATTTTATCATATGCCAAACTCATTTTCTTGATATCAATGCATTCTTTCATGACGCATGAAATGTTGCTTTAAATATTTCATAAGTAAAAATGCTTTCTTAACACAAACAAATCAGAATCATTATCTAAACTTTTATGACATCTTTTCAGTCACTGAGTAAGGTAATGCATGGTAATTGCTTTCAATGTACATACATACGTCAAGAAAGTTTCCGCATTTAATACATCACGAATAATTGAACAAGAATTGCTCGCGTCATACTGTTAAGCTTGTCATTTATACTGATTCTTTTAGATTAATATTAGTTAATTTATTGAAATATGTTACTGAGAAGTACAAAAGTTTAAAGATTTTTTACCCCCTTTATTCTTGCTATAAAAATATATTTAAAATATTCCTTAAAAATTGTAATAAATTCTTCGTAAAATAGGTTTATTTTCTGAATATTCACATACTTTGAGGAACTTTGAAACACTTACGAAATGGCTTAAGTAACATAGATAATAACAAAATCATTTTGAATCTTTACTCGAAAGTCTGTAAAGAGCGTTTATATACATTACTCTCCCAGTAAGCAAATTACAAAACTCATTAACATAAAACTGTAAATGCTAATCATTTGGAAGTGTAATATATGTCCATTTGAAATAAAAAAAGCCGGACATGTTCATCTTTATTGGTCGTGTGCTATAAATATTGTAATTTAAACTGCACACCAGAACTGTGTTGATAGTTTTAAAATGAGGAAAGCCATAAAACTGCTCACCAAAATATTTTAATCACTTCGATACATTTAATTTGGAATATTTTTATTTCTAGCTTGCTTTTTGGTTTTTACCTGAGGTACGTTTCTCACTGGATTCGACACAACTTCGTCTTAATCCTGGTTTCTATGAATAGAAGTCAAAATAGAGCACCTTAAATTGATGGCTACTGAAAAATTATGATTGAGTTGCATTAATACCTTAATTCAAGGAATTACTTCAAATGTTTCGGAATGAAACATTTGATTAAGTTGAAATTAGGTGTATTGTCACAATTATAAAGAATATTGCATTAATTCTACTAGCAATCATACAACAACTGTGTGCTAAATGACAAATTTAACATTTGATGCAAATAATGAAACTTATCTAGGAAGACTTTTTTGAACACTTTTAATAATATTTTAACCCTTATTTCTATTAACAAAGTGCTATAGATAGATGCTTATAGAACTTTCCTGGGAAGGTTCCTCTTTCAAGATTACAGTAGTGTTTTAAGTTATGATGATAGTTAAGGATACAAAGCATCCAATAAACATTAGTTAGGAGGAATGAAAGATGCAAGATCAAGATTAACTAGAAGTGAGCCTTCTTAAGATATTCACGAATTCTAATGAATATATAGTCACTAAATGAAAGATTTTCAGATGAATCAAGCAAAACTTAAATGAACTGAAAAATGCATACAGATAAATAATAAAACATATAAGTATCTCCAGGTAAATTGTAATGATGAGAAAATTACACGTGTGCAAATACTTATGTACGTAAAAATTATACGGGATATAAAATTTATGAATACAAAGTTCAGATTATGAGTAACTAAAATACGTATAAGAAACTGAACTCTTATAAAATTAAGAATTATTATAATAAAACTTTCTTGAACAAAAATTAAATAGTAAAAAGCAGAAATTTTTGACATTTGAATTTCTGAATACTAAAATTGAAGATAATTATGCACAAATTAAACTACATTTACTGATAACAAAAACCATAAATAAATAATTAAAAAGTATAAATCCACGTTATGCTGTTTGAAGAGCAGACGCTTCTGTTCTTCCGAATTAAAAAAAAACATTTTATGACAAAAGTATTCAGCTGATGTTATAGCCATGTTGTCATTTTAACTATATAAAAGTAATTATAAATCCTATATATTACGCAGCGACATAAAAAAAAAAATGTTAGTAGACCAGGTTATTCGTAGGACAGTTTAATGTTTCAAAGAGAAAAATTTTACTCAGCTTTTAGAAGAAAGACCAGAATGTAAGAAAAAAATCAAAACAAATATGTGGAGAAACCATATCAATACTCCAATCTAATTTGTAACTATGAATACAGTGCTCATGATTAGAATCACATAGTCAGTACTGAATCTTAGGAATATACGGAAGTAGAAATTCCATTATCATTATTCGTTGAATCATTTAATTGTAGCACGACATTTTCTTGCTATAAAATAAAATAAACAGAATATATATACGAGATATTTTTGCTTTATTTAATCTATAACGTAAAAAATAAATCAAAGAAAAACAAATAAATAAATAAAAGAAAGTAAAGTATCCATTTACTTGTACGTTTTTCCTTTGGAATCAGTGCATTATGTTAATGTAGTTCAATTTCGAAACTACAGCTTTTGATGCTTCAAAATTTGTAGCTTTCTTTGTAGAAACTATTAAGTTTTCTTGAAATAAGAAACATGAAAAACTGTACCATCAGCGTGATTCGAACCACAGATATGCAAGCACTGCTGACATGTTTAATATGATTTGATTGAAATAAAAATCTTCAAGCATTCTTAGTTCTGACTGATTTAGGAATATGATAATGACTTGTTTCAAGTTACACTTTTAATATTTTAATTCCACAAAATATATATGAAATTTCAATACTTTTTGACAAATTTTACCTCTCAGATTTACTTGAATCTGTTTCATATGCTTCTATTTTTTTTAAAGGTATAGCAATTTAAACAGAAAGAAAACTCTTAGTGTGAATCTTTTTGCAACATCATATGAGCTACCAGGAATCTTTGAGTTTGGACCAGCGAAAATCACAATCAAATATTCAATTAAACTTTAACAATAAGAGTATTTTGTACCAAGCTAATGTTTTTACAATGTTTATCAATAAGTCATTCTCTGCCAGCAACTTGCTCTTTTTCGGTAACCTTGCTTTCAGGTAATGTTCTTGTTACACCAACTTTAAAGGAATAACAGTTAAATAAATAAGTTATATATTTCATTATGCAAATAAAATGCGCAGTGAATACATTAAGAAGACAAAACGGCATTTTGTTCCTTTTTAGTTATTTTTCTAAACATTATTTACTGCTTATTCAGACTCATTAAATATGCTGACGTTTGTGTTGTGTATCATTAATGCCAACACACCAGAAGATTATAAGACATTGAAGATACTAAAATTTTGTATTTAATCTTTATAAAGTAAAAAAAGTAAAAAATGCAAGGAATTTTTGAAAATTCCACTAGAGGAAAAAAATTAAATAAGGAAGAGAAATTATCTTGTTAAAATTAACATTGAAAAGTCAACAATTAGATTAATTTCTAAATTGTTTACTTGAATGAAGCAGCTAGGCATTTCTTAAAAATATTTATTTAATTTAATAAATTAATATTTCTTCGTATTTAGAATCATTTGAAATTATTATTAAATCCATTTATTAGTGATTCTATGCCTTGTCTTTTCAAATAGCACATTAAAAAAATTCCAAAGTAGAAATAACGCTTGAATTTTCATAGCTCTGGCCTTTCACAACTCTAAGAGCAAGAAATTAGCTCAAAGCAAAATCAAGGAAAGAAGCAGAATTATTAGTACAGTATTTCCTTGAATTAAAAATTAATTCAATAATAATTGAATTAAATAATTAAGAATTAATAATTAGTATTTAATATAAGTAAATAAATAATAAGTATTTCCTTGAATTACAATTTTAATATCATTAGGTTCTTTGCAGATATATCAGTTAGCAAATTCAGATTATGCGTTTAATTAGTTGAATGAAATAAAGCGCATTTTAAATCTTGAACATGGAAGTTTATTCTCCCTTCTGATTCATTTTACACCAATACGACGGGACACATTTATTTATGCCAAATACAAACTAAAAACCAATTCGGATTTTCAGAAACAAAGCCAATTCTGATTTTTAGAGCGCAACTAATTTTTTAATAATTATGATTTCAGTACTGCTGGATAAAAATTACCTTTGCTGAAAATAGCAAGTAACATTACTATGGAATCGAAGACCGAAACTTTGGACTCTGTTTTTACAGTATTTCCTTGAATTAAAATTTTAATATCAGTAGGTTCTTTGTAGATATATCAGTTAGCAATCAATTCAGGAAAAGATGTGAATGTAGTAAAAAATGATCACAACATAAGAGAGGCATTTTATCGCTACAATGTATATTATAAGATATCGAATGATTACAGTCATTAAAATATGTGCAAAACTTAAACATTTATGCCTAATATTTGCAATAATTCAATCACACCATACTATTATAAACTAGTGAAATGAAAAGCATTCATTTAGCAGAATAGAGGATATAAAAATATGGTAAATTGAGACAAATTTAATTAGATGGGAGGAAAAAAAAAAGAAGCAACAGAAGAATAAAAAAAAATCTGAAATATTTTCAGGATTTATATTACTCCCAAAGATGCCTTTTTTTAACGTTTTTCGCGTTATCTTTATTTATTAATTATCATGCCCCTAGCACTTAAACCATAAAATTCAATTCAACAGCAATATCACAAAATATTTAAAAAGAGCATATCTTTACAATTTCCCATACACAGTCTGGCGCACTGGAGATAAAAAAGATTTCCGACTCCGTACAGTGTTGCTATTGCTCGCTTTGAAATCGCTGAGTTCGTTAACCAAAAGTTCGTTAAAGTTTTACAAAATGTGAAACAGATAATAAAACAAATTACAAATTTGAGCTTCCATAGCTCATACTCGTATGGAGGACTGCGTTATTCAGAATTTGATGTCTCTAGGTCTCTATGTTAATTTTTCACAATGCGAGAAACATACATACATTCATTCAGATTATTCATTATTTAATT